TTAATTTAGTACAATGGAATAACAAGTATCCATTTATTTATAAAGCACGTCAATCAATTTGGAAATCTATTTTTAATAGTTCACGATACAGGCCAAATGAAATCATAGTTTTAAATGATGAGGAAAGCGAGGAAACTGAATATGAATTGAATTTAAATGATAACGATAATTATTTGAGCAGTGTTGACAATAGTAGTGACATAGATATTACGACGAATAAAGATATCGAACTTAAAATAGTACTCGAAAAGGTAATAATATATATATAATTTGCATCTTATATTAATAAATAATTTTTTTTTTGTTTTTTTATAGGCTATAAGTTTTATAGAAAAGTCATCTGCTCTTCCTCAGCAAGAGAAATGGTTAGATTCAGTTGAAAAAAATTTTAATCCTATAAAAAAAATGGTTGAGGATTTAGAAAAATTCGAAAATGCCAAAACAGCAAGAAATACATGGAATGGACGAAATTCAAATACCTTTTATTGGCAATAAATAATTTGGTAAGTTTATACACTATCAGTATTCTCTACAAGCAATATATTAGTAATAATCAAAACTCTAATATCGGGATTTTTTTTACTATCAATCATAGCAAGTAACATACAAGCAATCATAGCACATAACATACAAGCAATCTTTTGTAAAAGATATAAACAATTTTTAGATTATAAATTTTCAGATTAACTTCTAAATAGTTTGAAATTATTGCGTTAAATTTTCATCTTATGCTTATTATATTTGTTAATGCAAAAATTTGGGAACCAAAACTTTGTTTACAGCAAGACCCGTAAAATTTAACAATCAAAAAGAATTTGATTGCATTGTTACATTTTTGTAAATGCATACGAAAATAAAAGCTTTGTGATTATCAATGGCAATAGCAATCATTCAAAATTACACGATCGCTAATATTTACTATTAAAATTATCTTTGTTTCGTGCATTGACTTTCCATCTCATATTATGTCATATGATAAGTTATGAATGACGTGCTTTATAAATAAATGGATACTTGTTATTCCATTGTACTAAATTAAAAAAAGAATTTTCCATATCTCCTAATGGCATGACAAGGTGCTTACAAAGAAAAAAGCGGCTTTTAAGGAATGATGGGCATGAACAAACCCAACAATTATGAACTGTAAGATACTTGTTAGAATTATTGGTTTTTTGAGTTAAAAGTTTTTTCCATTCATGTTTGAAATCTTTCCGCCAAGGAGGCTGAATTCGTTCAGTAATGAGAAGATCATATCGATGCAATAATTTTGGAAGCATTCTGTTAGCTATTACATTACAAAGTACATCTAAACGTGGACGATTAAATTTGTATAAGAAATCGTGTTTCAGAATCCTCCAATGGGACTCCACAATCATTGTCGTATAAATAATTGAAGCAGTTTTGTGTGCTGAAAGTGCCCAAAGACACCAGCGTTCCCAGCGGTACCATTCTAACCATAAGTAGCTCCAAACATGAAATAAATCATATCGGTAACAATATTGAAATATTTCATTAACAGCTTGCATCCAAATTTCATTTGGTGTTGATATAAATTCCTTATCTATTGTTGGAATTAACATATGACGATGATAGTGTGTATTTATAAATTCCAATATTTCTTTTCGTAATGATAATTCTAAAAAAATTTTTCTGGAATTTATATCTTCTCTATTATGAGATTTCCATGTTGGATCAACTACGGCACACTGTTGATATGCAAGAATAGGATTATAATATGATATTCTATTTTTA